AAAAGGAGGGGCGTTGGTATGCAAGAATAAATACCCGCGAGAATACTCGGATTCAACAGTCATGGGTGAAAACACATACCCCATTTATAGGCGACGTAGGAATGATGCAGTCCTCACTGTACGCAAACATAGATTAGATAATAGGTGGGTCGTACCATATAACCCGTACCTATTAGCTAAGTTTGATTGTCACATAAATGTCGAGGTATGTGCGGGAATCAAGAGCGTAAAATACATTTACAAGTACATCTACAAAGGTCACGACAGAATTGCAGTCAACATAGCCCCCGAAAGCGAGCCAAGAATAATTGACGAAATTGACGAATACCAAAAGGCTCGATGGGTGTCCCCGCCTGAGGCTGCATGGAGAATATATGGATTTTGCCTTTCAGAAATCAAGCCATCGGTTATACACTTGCCCGTGCACTTGGAAAATTATCAATACATGCGATTTGACAAACACCAAGACATTGCCCGAATTGTGGATAGTGAACGAAATAGTCAAACCATGCTTACTCAGTTCTTTTTCATGAATCGAACTGATGAAACAGCAAAAAGGTTGAATATACTGTACATCCACTTTCCTGAGTACTACGTTTGGTCAAGCAAAGACAAAATGTGGCAACCCAGGAAAAAAAAAGAAGTCATTGGGCGACTTGTAAGTGTTAACCCAGTTGAAGGGGAAAGATATTATTTGAGAATGTTACTAATGAATGTCAAATCACCCCATTCGTATGACCATATTAAAAAGGTCGGGGAATATCAGGCTTCAACTTTCCGGGAAGCAGCTGAGAAACTCGGATTGTTACAAAGTAATCAGGACCTAGAAGAGTGCTTGCAACAAGCCTTGTGTTGGCAAATGCCAACTACTTTCCGCAGATTGTTTGCAACAATCCTTGCCTTTTGTGATGTTGCCAACCCAAAATCACTGTGGATGCAGTTCAAGGAGCATTTGTGTGAGGATCTCGTTAGACCATCTTTAAGTATACCCGAATCCGAAGACAAATGCCTCCATCTTTTGAATGAAGCGTTGTTATGCATGGGGAAAAACATCAATGAATACGCATTAGTTTCACATCACATCGGAATCACAAAAGACCAGCGAGTCCAAAAAGAAATCCAAGCCGAGCGAAGTCTCACACCAAGTGAAGCAGATTTATTGGCCATTGAAAAGTTGAACGCTGGGCAAAAGGAAGCCTTTGATAAGATAATCAGCCGAGTTTACTCGAACAGGGGGGGCGTATTCTTTGTTGACGGGCCAGGAGGGACCGGAAAAACATTTTTGTACAGATGTCTTCTTTCAAAAGTGCGGTCAAACCATGACATCGCCCTAGCCACAGCAACCTCTGGTGTTGCCGCATCCCTATTACCTGGTGGACGGACTGCCCACTCCCGCTTCAAAATACCAATACACATCGACGATAGATTTGTGTGCAGTATCGGGAAACAAAGTGCAGAGGCGACCCTGATACGAGACAGCAAATTGATTTTGTGGGACGAAGCAACAATGGCACATCGAAAAACGGTTGAGAATGTTGAAACCACATTAAGGGATATCACTAATAGTGATAACTTATTTGGAGATAAAGTGATGGTATTCGGGGGAGATTTTCGCCAAACGTTACCCGTGATCAGATCAGGTGGAAAAAGAGATTGCATAGAAGCAAGCTTGGTAAACTCCCATGCAATTTGGCCGCACATTGAACGTTTACCTTTGACCGAAAATATGAGAGCACAAAGTGATCCGGGGTTTGCATCGTATTTAATGCGGGTGGGAAATGGAACTGAAGATTACGTAACTGACTTCTCCATTGCCATTCCAGAACAATTTCTTATCCCGTACACGGAACACGAAGCATCAGTAGATGCATTAATAGCAAATGTATTCCCTGATTTGCTGTCATTTAACGTCAACCCTTATCCACTAATGCGAAGGGGAATCTTAACCCCAAAGAATGATGGGGTTGAAGAGTTGAATGAGAAACTGATACAAGCAATGCCAGGAGAAGAAAGATGTTATGTTAGCTACGATGAAGCGCTTGACAGCACCACACACGCTGAATATGGAGACCTCTTAAATTCCATTTCTTTGGCCGGTCTGCCCCCCCATAAATTAACTCTGAAGAAGAACTGCCCGGTTATGCTACTCAGAAATTTAAATCCTGCAGAAGGGTTATGCAATGGGACACGGTTGATTTGCAATGACTTTCGCGATCATGTTATTAACTGCTCCATAGCAACTGGTGAACACATGGGAAAGAAAGTCTTCATTCCGAAGATACCTCTGCAAACATCTGAGGACGACAACTGCCCGATACCCTTTAAACGCCACCAATTTCCCATCAAATTGTGCTATGCGATGACAATAAATAAATCGCAAGGGCAAACATTTGATTATGTGGGGATTTATCTACGCGAGCCGGTATTCTCTCACGGACAACTATATGTTGCAATGTCACGAGCCCAACGAGCAGACTGTTTGAAAATATTAATCTGCAGCAAGGACCGCTCTGGTAGCATGCACTTGACCCCCAATATAGTCTACGAAGAAATATTGGAAAAAGCCCATCGACAAGTAAACGTAGGAAAATAGGTGAGCCCAAACTAACCAGTCCTTTTGCACTACAAGTATCATTGTTCATGTATATGTGTGCACCTTTGAACATGCATGCCTACATATTACATTCTTTCTATCTGTTATTTTTCTTTTGTTACTACTTATGTTCCACCAAAGTGATAATTTCACTAACTATGTATGCATTATTTTCTATTACCTTTGGCATTTTAATTATTATCCCTTTATTTGAGTAATTATTTTAGTTGGTTATTACTATTATTATTATTATTATTATTATTATTTATTATAAGTATTATAATTACTATTATTATTATTATTGTTGTTGTTGTTGTTGTTGTTGTTATTTGTTTGCTCTTATTATTTTTGGTGTTGTTGTTGTCGTTATTTATAAATACAGATATCGATAGCTAAAAAATAACAACAGGCCCCAGTTTGCAAGTTTTTTTGGTTTTATATAATGCAACTACGTGATATTTCATATTTATGTTTCACTGCTTCCTGATATTGTTGAAATTAGATATTTAGAGACATTTCACAGCTTTCTTCAAATTCAAGAAAAAATATGTTTCCCTTTGTGAAATAGAGAAATTTTTATGGAGGAACCGAAATATCAACAAATGCATGACAGGCTCCCTTAATTGAATTATGATTGGAATTATGTCTGGGTATTTCTAGAACTATGTTTGGGTAAATGATTACCAAAATTACAGTGTTACATTCAGGTTATGCGTGGAAAGTATTACTTCATTTTTGTTTCTAAAGTGCTATAAATAATTATCAGAACCAATTACTTCTGATAAAAAAATTTGTGCACTGTGAATGGGTTCTATAGTATATGTAAATCTTAGTAGTTGTTGGAATGGAAGCACGCACCACATAATTTTCCAAATCTAATGCTACGACGGTTAATATATACAAAAATATACATGTATGGACGCAGGGTGTTGCGTACATACCATGCACATTGTGTGTCCATATTTATGTCTGTGTGTTAGTCTTGCATAGCAACAGTTGCCTACTGTTTCAATAATTTGTTACTACATTGTCACTACTTGCTAACTTTATGAATTGTCATATCCTACACACAAGGAATTTGCAGATGGCAAACATTGTCCGCTTGGTCACTGTCAGGCCGGAAACGCAAAAGTGGACTTGTGAGGTCCGTGTGATAAAGAAGGTTGCTCCAAAAATCTCAGCAAATGGGACACCATATATCTCGCTGCACTTTGAGGACACTGAGGTAAACACAATGGAAGTGTCACTCTAAGCAAAATGAAACATTTGATTGTTATAGTCGGCATATAATTAATTTGTTCTTATGGTTTATCCTACGTGGTCTACTAAACTCCAACAAGTTTCAAACTCATTATAAAAAAGGGATATCTACATGTTTTGACCATTCCTCCTTTATGCTGATGCTTTATTCTTTAAGTATTTACATTTACGTTCATTAGTTATACATAGTCCTCTCAATGTGTTATGTAGGTCTGTTATGTTTTTCAAATTGAATTTCGTATTCATAGTTCATATTATCCACTTTGATTTTTTCATGTTGTCATACGGCAAACAAAACAAAAAAACAACCCCTCCCCCGAATAAAAAAAAATATTAAAGCTAAACATCATTCTTTATACCACAACAATCCTAATTATACTTCCCATTGCTGCAACCCTACAGGGCACTTCCATCTTTCTTCATCTACATTTTTTTGCACTTAAGACACTTTGATTTTTTCATGTTGTCATATTGCAAACAAAACAAAAAAAAAACCACCCCTCCCCCCCCAAAAAAAAAATTATAGCTAAACATCATTCTTTATACAACAACAATCCTAATTATACTTCACATTGATGCAACCATACAGTGCACTTCCAGCTCTTTTCATCTACATTTTTTGCGCTTAACACACTTTTAATCTCTAATTTCTATATTCAGCTTCTATAAATGCTATCTTCCTGTATTTGGTTTAGTAAATAATTTTTTAGCCAAAAAAACACACTTCCATTTTCTCTATGCTGGTGCATGTTAATCTTCACATGTATTAACTATGCGAAACAAATAGGGCATTCGTGTGCAAGCAGTTGTCTTTGATCAAGATGTCAAGATGTATGACATGACGATGCAACAGCACTCATGGTATACAATTTCAAATGCAATTGTCCGACCTCACAATACCAAATTTCATCTCCTAGACGAAAACTATGCCTACACTTGGGTACTAAACGGTAGGACTATGGTACAACAAATGCAAAAAAATGACTTTGTGGCCCCCACTGATGGCCCACTGCTAACACACTTCATAGATTTGTATGAATGTATGAAGACAAGGAAAGAAATAGGTAAGCCACATCTTCCATGCAACTATAAACCAATCTCTTCTCAGCTCATGAACTAACTATTTCAATTACAGCAATGATAGCAGTAGTCATTGAAAAATTGCCCAAGGAGTTCAGGGAAACCAGCCGTGGAACTCAAGATATCAAAGATTTTGTGATCGTGGATGAAAAGTAAGATTATTACACACTGCCCATCCCTCATCCTTTTTTTTTTATTCCATCACCATTTCATTGTGCCGTTTGTACATCACATCAGGCTGAAACCAATAATAATCACGCTCTGGAACAAGCATGCCATGACGACTGGGGTAGAGATAACGGAGCAACTGATGGCGGGGATGTACCCTATAATATTAATCGAAGCTGTTCCGGTGACCCCCTACAGAGGTACTTTACTTATATACATTCTATAAACTAAAAAACAATAATAAAAATCTGATTCCATGGCCAACTCCAGGGATTTCTTTGAGCACTCATGCTGACTCGACCATAACTCTCAGCCCAGATACACCCCGTGCAACAGAACTAGGCAATTGGTGAGCCCTGAGTTCACAAATACAATGCACAAATGCAACACTCACTCTTGACGTTCTGAAAAAAAAAATGCACACCTATTGTGCCATATTACTCATTGTAGGGCTATTGAAAATCGTGCTGCACTTGATGGGCTAAAAATCTGTATGGAGTACACCAACGCTGCCTCAAATTTGGCAGACCCAGATAAGGAGACAATAATGGAAATAGCAAAAGTACCTCCACAGATTGAAGAGGTCAGTTTGATCTTAACGCATACATGCTTCCCTTCATTCACAATGTAAAAGGAACACTTACTGTCCCACATCTTAAACACTGAGTATTTGAAACCCGAGCAAAATTTTAAACAATGATGTATGTTAATTCATCTATTCATTGAAGAGCATTACATCTTACAATTACCTTTTACATTGCAACTTTCACTTTAAATATCTTTTAAGCGGATTACCTTAAAGTAACATTTTTTATCTTGCTCAGTTTAATAACATAAAAACCTTCAATATAGGTCTGCTCTCACAAATAATTAATCATCTATGCAAACATATAACTCATCAACATATAAGCCACTGATCAATCTACATGTTCATCCATTCCTTCCTCGTTTTGGTTGATAGTTTGCTGTAAACACCTACATACAATCTGTCGTCTTCAAGTACTCCAGTACACTTCATGTTGTTCTATGCTAGGGGCCTGGCCGTATATAAGAATATTCCTCCATTGGACGCAAACCTCTTCCCATAAAAACTACAAGAACATGCTAGAGAAAGTTTATGTTGGCCTAATTCTCCCAAATCATCTTGCATTAACAGCCCTCTTATCATCAACACGTATACTAACCTGACATAACTTTTTGACATAACGTTGGTCAAGCTTTTCCGGATTTGTATTACAACATATATCTGTGGGATTATTGCTTTGTTGTTTATTGGAAGTATATAAAGAAGATGAGACCTTTAGTTTCTTTTCAGCCAGCTTTAGTACCACTCCAATTTCATCAGTCATATAATAAATAGAGCTCAAATATACACTAGAGAGTGTATTTTCTTAATTAAGTATATTATCTCTCCAGAAAATGACTTTTAAAATTTACTCTTATTGTCCTCTGTAGTTATAAGACTTATAATGGAAGAGAAAACAGTTACATGAACATTGTTTCTGTAAAAATTACAGCCTGTAACTTTGAATACAACCTATATTGAAAGTTATTTGAATATCCACTCAGCAAATTTGTCATTAATATTCCATTCGTGATGACTTCTTAAAAATAAGAATTCTTTTATGACATTGTTCATTAGGTTAAAAAAACTCACAATTAGCATCATGGTAGAGTATTAAAAAAAAACACTAATACATATGCAAACTATATAGTACAACGACTAATTTTCCTTCCCAAATTAATTCTTCTTCCTGCCAAAACTCCCAGAAAAAAGCATAAGAAAAAACTCTCAAAATAATTCTCAAAACCAACTGATGACACACCATTAACTTGTATGTGTGTGTCTGTTTATAGAAAGGCAATGGCTGGTGTATTAGATATTAAACATTTCCTTTCTATATGTGTTTTGGGCAAAGTAATTGAGTTAAGCTAATATTGAGTGAAACATTTCCTTTACAGTCGAAGCCCGCATGGATTCAGGGCAAAATAACTTTGGCCATTGACAATGAAAGTCTTTGGTACGTGGGATGTAGCCGCTGCTCTAAGAGCGTTTATGGCGGATGTGACTATAAGTTCCACTGCATGACTTGTGGCGAATCAAACGCTTTTGGGACTCCAAGGTAACTGTACACATATTAATTGACTCGAAAATCCCACAAATTCAATAACTATATATAACCCATATAATTTGCTGATCTTTCAATGTACATGCAGGCCTAAGTTACGTGTCACAATTGAAGACAAGACTGGTTGTCTCAGTGCCTCGGTGTTTGGCCGTTGTGCTGAGAAATTGCTCCTAATGACAAGTAAACAAATCATGGAAACAGAATCACAAGTAAGAACTCACCACCCCTTCCTCAAAACCACTGGAAACGAATGGCATACATGCAATGGATTACTAAATAAAAATTGCATCACAATCTATGTAGGGAAAAAAGGCATCATTTCAGTACGCCAACAAACGCTTGGTGAATGAAGATTATATAGTCCAATTGAGAACAAACACATACAAATATCAAGGCGTCTCCACAACAACTTATACTGTGAACTCATTGCATGACTCTTCACACCACTTGACAAAGAAGGCAGAAGATAGTCCCACAAATGACATGGGCCCAAGTACCAGCACAACAGAACTGTCCCCCTCAAATAAACGTCAAAGGACCAATTAGGGCCATTCACATCACAACATCACTCCGCCCTGACAAGACACCAATGCTTTAGTTTATTGCATAAAACCTATGACATTGTCTTTTGCTTATTGACATTCCTTGCATTTCACTCTTCCCTACATTTCCTTCAGTTAACATTTTCATTTCCACGTACACTTCATCAATGTTGCTATAATTTGCATATCTTAAAAGTTAAGACTTCTTAAATTGCCTTCCATTTTACCTTTTAGTTTAAACAAATTTTATTTTCCTTTACATTCATTTTGACTAACATAGCATTGAATATCTCTTGATTACACCAGGTACATCCTAAAATAACACTAATTTATGAATTAACTTTTGAAAATTAATCACAAAAACCACAGGTAAAGGTTAAGTTCCCAAAACAAAAATTCTAATTTATTTACGTATATCAGTTCAAAATTCTAGGGCTGTTGCACTTGATGTTCCCTATTAAATACAACCATTAAAATTTTAAAAAACTCTAAAACTCATTTATCAAACATATAACTATTGGTTTTTATAGGCTTAATAAGAATGTATTTAATTCCATCGCATTTTTTTTTTATTGATCTGATACTATAATTTGCTTTGTTTGATACATTCAGGATACAACAAAATACTTCAGTTCCTAAAGTTGGGAGTTGTGGAGAACATTTCAAATTAATTTACAAAAATAAGTTCAAATCTATCCACCACGTCTAATTCGTAAACTTTAGATAACTCTTGAACACGTCGTAGTACCACACTCAACAATCATCCCTGTATTGTACAAGAGTTAATATCTAGCCAGCACGTAAACTTGGGCATTATCCGCTCGCGCAACGCGCGATCAAAAAACTAGTACTAGTATAGCACCCGTGCATACGCACGGGAATTAACGGTTGATGCATATATTTTTACTCATGATCTAATTAAATATTAAAATAAAAATAACTTTGTAGGATTCTACATTTTGAAAATAAGAGTACAATAAGCTAATACCATAAAGTATAAGCCTATATAATAAATTTTCAATGAAGAGTATATTAGGAAAAATTAATTGACGCCATTCACCCCATTAGAATTTGCTACTTATGAATTTTCATGTTTAAACTAATTTTGAAATTAAATACTATTATAAAAATGAGTACAATATGTGAGTGACACAAAATTTAAGAGAATACAATAAATATTAAAATTAATGAATATTAGTTAAATAATAATTTGCTGCTCATTGGTTAAATGAGTGCTAACACATGAGAGAGAGAATTATTCTGTCCAATTCTCAGCCGGCTTATCTTATCTTCTTGTACCTAAAAGAGCATATAAAAGAAAATTCTCCCACTCGATTGTTAGCCGGATTATTAATGTATACCTAAAAACACTACGTATGAGAGAGAAATTCTACTGCGTAATTGTTAGTCGGCTTATATTATTATACTTAAAAGAACTACATATATGAAAATTAAAATGCTAAATTGTTATCAATTTATCTCCTATATAATACCTAAAAGCACTACACATGAGGGAGAAAATTTCCCCGCTCAATTATCTAATTTATTTGTTTATTTATTTGTTTAATACATAAAAACACTACATATGAGAGAGAAAATTTTCCCTATTAATTATAAGCAAGCTTATTTTGTTATATCTAAAAACACTACATGGGAGAGAGAAAATTTTCTCATTCAATTGTTAGCCGGTTTCTGTTATAACTAAAAAGCACTACATATGGGAGAGAAAATTTTCCCGTTCAATTGTTAGCCGGATTATCTAATAGTAGTACTTAAAAAGAACTACATATGAGAGAGAACGTTTTTCCACTCAATTGTTAGCAAGCTTATCTTGTTAGCTTCTTATTATTATACCTAAAAACAGTACATATGAGAGAACATATTATCTTGAGGAAGCGGTCCAGCCCAGCTGGTCGCCGACTCACTCTCCCTTACGGGATGTCTCAGGTTCGAAACTCAATGAAGTGAGTTTCAGCCTAGATTGCTCCAGGCTCCCCCCAACCCCCTCCCCCAAAAGACCCCTGGAGTAGAGAGAGAGAGAGAGAGAGAGAGAGAGAGAGAGAGAGAGAGAGAGAGAGAGAGAGAGAGAGAGAGAACATATTATCTCGGTCAATTGTTACTCGTCTTATCTTATACTCCCTCCGTCCCAAAAAATTGTTCCCGGTTTCCTTTTTGGGCCATCCCAAAAAATTGTTCCACTTTCCCCTTTTGGAAAGTTTTTTGTGGCTACAATTCATTTACCTTTTTCTTACTCAACCACAACCATACATTTCCACTTTATTCCCACTTTCTTAAACTCCGTTCCAAGTCAATGCGAGAACAATTTTTTGGGACGGAGGGAGTACTTAAAAAAACTACACATGAGAGAGAAAGTTATCCCGCTCAATTGTTAGCAAGTTTATCTTCTCATACCTAAAAGAATCAAATATGAGAGAGAAAATTATTCCGCTCAATTGTTAGCAAGTTTATCTTCTAATATCTAAAAGCACTACATATAAGAAAGAAACTTTTTCCGCTCAATTATTGGCAAGCTTATCTTCTTATACCCAAAACCCGTACATATGAGAGAGAAAGTTCTCCCACTCAATTGTTAGTCGATTTAACTTATACCTAAAAGCACTACATATGTAGGAGAAAAAATTTTCCGCTCAATTGTTAGCCGACTTGTCTTATACCTAAGAAAACAATATATGAGAGAGAATGATATTACACTCAATTGTTAGCAATCTTATCATCTATGTAATATATCTTACTCTATATCTAGTCTAGTACCTAAAAGCACTACATATGAGAGAGAAAGTTCTCCAGCTCAATTGTTCGCCGACTTGTATTCTAATACCTAAAAGCACTACATGTGAGAGAGAAAGCTCTCCAACTCAATTGTTAGACGACTTGTCTTATACCTAAAAACACAATATATCATATGGAAAATTCTACCTCTCGATTGTTATTTGTTAGCTGGATTATCTTATACTACCTCCGTCCCACTAAGATTGGGACAAAAGAATGTGACACGATTATTAAGAAAAGTGAGTTTGTGTGTTTGATATTAAATTGATAAAGTAACAATAAAGTAAGAATGATTTAGAGCCACACAAACTTTACCAAATTTGGTAGGGGACAATCTTAGCGGGACTTCCCGAAAAGGTAAAATGGGACAATCTTAGCAGGACGGAGGGAGTACCTAAAAACACTGCTTATGAGAGAGAGAAATTTCTTGCCCAATTGTTAGACGATTTATGACTTAATCTTTCTTATACCTAAAATCTTATATCTAAAAGTACTATATATGAGAGAGAGAGAAATTCTCTCGTTCAATTGTTAGTTGGCTTATCTTACATTGTACTAAAAAGCATTATATATGAGAAAGAAAAGTCTTCTACTCAATTGCTAGCAAACTTATCTTCTTAAATTCTTATACATAAAAGCAAATCAAATGAGAGAGAAAATTTTACCAATCAAATGTTAGTCGGCTTATCTTACACTTCAAAGAATTACATATGAGAGAGAAAGTTTTCCCGCTTGATCAATCGTAAGCCGGCTTATACTATCTTATCTTTTACTTAAAAGTACTACAAATGAGCGAGAAAATTATCTTGCTCAATTGTTAGATGGCTTATCTTATACCTAAAAACACTATAAGTAGGAGAGAAAATTCTCCCACATCTTCCACAAATGTATAATGATTAACTCAATAACAATTTTATTTCCTTATCTTCCACATCTTCATTACTTAAATACATAATTCCGTTTTAATTTACTTTCTACCCTTAGATTGTTAGTGCTTTGATTTTTTTATTCATACGCAGTATATCTTTTCAATTGCAAGAACTTCTGCTATGCAGATTTAGAGCCCGTTTGGAGAACTCTGTTTTCGGCTTATCAGGCTTATCAGCCAGCTTTTTCACCAAACACGTAACTTTTACTTTCGCGCGCTGAATTGTGTAATAAGCCGAAAAAGTAAGGTTGGAGTTACTTTTCTGGCTGTATTGGCTGAAGTTACTGTAGAGGACCATTTTAGCTATTTTTACATATAATTTTTTCTTTAATTTATTAATAAAATATATTTTTAAAATATTTTTTTCTTAAATCAGCAGAATCAGCCAAAACAGCCACTCCAGCCAGAATATCATAAATTTCAGCAGAATCAGCCAAAACAGCCGATTTTGATGCTACCAAACGGGCTCTTATTATATTGAATTGTGTGAACTTTTTGATTTGCAAGTTTATTTTATTTTTCTAAATTCAGTTTGATTTGGCTTCTTATTCCTGTTGGTAATCTACTATAGTGCTTCTTTCATGGTCCATTATATAGTAAGAGATGTACTTTTTTTGTTCAAAGATTCTTCCTGTTGCTAGATTAGTAATCATATGAAACTCTTTCGTAAGTCTCTGTCGTCTGTATGTGCAGAATTGGAAGTCCACTATAATAACCAAACTCAAGTATATTTATATTATCGAGTCACTTATATATTATAGTAATATTATTTCAACATGTTGATTTTTTTTAATGAAATGTGATTTTTTTAGATTCTCATTCTTTTTACTTTTAAAGGTGATTTGATTCACCAACGACAATAGTAATAATAACAACAACAACAACATTACAAAGTATTTTCTAATATGATGAGATTCATGTGTAAAACTTTTCGTCCTGCCAATGAAATTGCACCTCTCATGAGTTAGCTACCCTCTTTTGCTATTCCTATGGTAAAGTTGCCATGTGACAGTTACACCGTCAAGGAGTGGAAATTGGGTAGAAGAACTCATAAGATGTAAGATGTTGTGATCTTATTTAAGCATAATTGTAGTCAATGTTAATAAGTTATATTTTTATCCGTTATCCTTACTTTTTTGTATATATATTCGGGATTATTTATCTATTTAATGCAAAATAAAATACAAACTTAAGGAAATTCTTAAACTTTATTTTCATGTTTTATTTTTATATTTCACAGAAGAAAGAAACAATATAATTTCACCAACTATATTTAAATATGTATTTTATGTAATATATCTAATGTCTTGTAATATAAACATATTTTTAGGTTTTTGACTTTTTGTATGATGATCTACATTTGTTTGTATTTTCCATTTGTACTTTTTCATTTTTCATTTTTCATTTTTAGTTTATTTAAAAAAATAGAATAAAAAATATACATAGTATTATTTTGGTAAAATTAGATATTAAAAGTAATTTATTTAAATATTTTTATGTTTTTTTAGGTGTATACTAATTAGATT